TATATATATATGAGTACATAATAACTATATAAAAATTATAAATACTAGCAAAGATTGATAAAGATACTAATAATCATGCTGATTATTATGGAGATGATAATGATGTTACTACAGTAAGCAGATAAAACGTTACATCTTATTTTATTATTCTCCTTATATTATTATTATTATGACGTTGACGCATTACAAGGGGGGTTGGAAGAAGGAAACGACAATAATAACATGAGGTCAAACAGAAACTACAGAGACGGTAGTTGTCGGATGAATGCATAATTCAAAATAACAGTTTGCTTGAAGCTTCGCACAATGAAGCTGCATTACTTAGCGACGATGATCGATGGAGAGACAGATAGAAGCCACAACAAAGCGACTAGACACGTGTAATCGTTTTCCATGGCTCTCTGGCGATTGTTTTTTGACTTATGTTACCGACTGTTGACCTCATTAGCAGTGTCGCCTCCTACCACCCCGCACAAGCGCACCCAGGACACACAAATAGCAACTAACTAGCCGCTACAACGACAGTCGGATTCACGAGCGAGGACAAATAAGTACGAAAAAGTAGACAACCGACGAAAGTGTTGACGTCAAGTAGTGGTCATCCGGTCCTCTATTCGCGACACCTGTCGTAAGCCATAAGTGAATATGCATCAGACTAGTAAACGATTCCGGATAAGTCCAGCAAGACCCCTCCAGGCAGTCTTTGAAGCAATACCAAAGGGTGATTTCAAAGGCTCGTTTACATAGGAGGATAATTGAGGGTCAGCTCGAAATGTCATAACAGATTAATTAGATTAGAACCAACAAGCAGACAACCAATAGCAGTCGATATTACATGGGTCCCTCGGCAGCTGGCACTTGTTGTCTTGCCAGTCCGATGATAAATTCTATTACAAGCGTAAATTCGTTTCTTATAATAGTTCAGATTATGAGATATACAATGTTGGCCAAATACAAAACAAATCTACAAATGTTAATATCTAGCGTCGAAGTTCCTTATCAATTTGTCATCGCGCACAAGCAGCGATAAGGTATCTAATAAAAACCATTACGGTTAAAATGTGATACCGCCGTATAATAGCGTATGCAGATGAATACTACAACAATAGGACACCTGTCAAAAATAACAAGACAAGTACAGACAACATATACATAAAACAGACGTGAAAAGACGTGCTTAAGGTGAACATAGCAAGATGGTGAATTCATAAATAAACTCATGAAAACAATGAGCCATGAAGTTACACACGGCAGACACGCGCACACAGTTAAATAAAGCATTGTTTACTTTGGCGCGCCGGCGATGCCAAGACGGGATGCTAGGCACCGCCGGGCACCGAGGACTTTTGTATGTACCGTTGTATCCCCTTAATCATGACTATATGATTAGCAGTCGTGAACTACTCAAGATGCAACATTTGCGGATGGGTTGCTTCAAGGCAGGAGTATCACTGAATATGTACTCAAATGGATATAGAACAAACAGCGAGAATTAAAAAATTGACGACATATTGTGTAATTATATGAAGAAAGCGGCGAGGCAATGCGCAAACCTAGTCACAGAAAAAACCGGTTCCGGATGATTCGTTGGGGGGCGCCGCTGCCTGCCACTAGCTGTATTGCTACCTGCTTTGATCACTACTTAATCGTACTAAGTTATTTCCGGTTGTTAGTGTTTCCTAACAAAAAAAATGGCGTTCAAAGTACGAAATTCGCCAGCGTTCACCAAAGATACCTCATGTAACAAGACGTCCAACGCGCTTGCCGGGTCTGATACACTAGTTGCAGTACAGGTAGTAAACGAACAAAACGGAAATATAGCATAAAGTTTGCCCGGATTCCCTCAGATCATCATCTCCGTGTATCACTAAAAGCATTGTGACCATCTTATGCGGCCCCGACGCCTGCCACGCAAACCCCATCTGTGGTGGTGTCTTCACGTTCAAGTACCTCTAAAATATACAGTATGTCTAAAATTATAATACAATGAATCCTAATTGGGTGAAAATACATGTTGTGACAAGAGTGCAAAATTTCTCTTAATACGCTAGATTGACACAGGCTAACGCCCAGCACCGCTTCATCGCTATGAGTTAACAAGCATTGGTAGCGACCGAATTAGAAATTTAGCTGCGTTCTAATATCACGCGACTGTAAACAGCATTCTATACAGCATAAAGCCTAAATACTCACCTTCACAATTAGTGTTTTGATGGATCTGAGAAAAAGATAAACATTTAGATTTAAACACTAGTACGCATGTTTTGACGCAATAAACTCACAATTCCTTTAACTTGTATTACCTATACCAATCAAGCATTTTTCGAGTGACATGTTTCTCACCACCGTGTTCATCGGGAACAAGATCCACGCGACGCAAAACAGGACGAGATCGATTTGCTGACGACTATCATGGCAGCCATGGGTATGGCCTATTGTCTCTGTTAACTGGCATTTTCTTGATTGTTTTATTCGTCTCTTTCTTCCGCCCTTGTCTTTTCCTATTTCCCTATAGGCAATCATGCTACGCAAAAAGCCGAAGCCTCATCGGATCCACCGACGGAATACCGAGCCGACATTGATGCCAACGAGCAAGTAAATCATGGGCGGTCAGTCAAGAAAGGCTATTTGTACGATTTTCGGATTCTCACTAACATTCACCCTCGCGTCAAAACAACACTGTTCAACTAGACACAAACAAATGGTAACAGGGAACTGTATTGCCTCATTCACCGATCTGTGCGAAACTAGAAAAATGTTTCTACCATCGACAGACGCTTAACGACTCAGATCTCGTATTGTTATCATCAATTAGCGTGTTGGTACGTTAACACGTAGATATGTGACGATCCACCAGGGTGGCAAAACCAAACGGATGGATGAATAAAAGGAAATCAGAAATTCCGTCACGACCGGATTTGAGAGATGCTAAGTACACACTAGACACACACGGTATCGCAACTTCAGTTTATCAACTTCTGCAATAGTTTAAAGGAATGGAGGTATAAAAGATGAGATGGTGCATTTCATTATCGGATCTAATAAATTAAAAAGCCGAATTAATGCAGTTCGATCTGAATATTGGATCAGTCTAGCCATAGGAATGTTATCATATATAAGGTCGTACTACTTTTTGAAGCTATGGGACGACTACAAGAATATTAAATAGAGTGATTTAATACATGAGACGGAGCTTGACGCTGTAACTATGTATTTATGTCTCAGCACCACGTCTTGAACTGAATTTTTATACACAGAGATTATGTCTATATTCAGCGAAAACTTTTATTTTTATTTGCTTTGCCTTTGCGGTTCTCGTCGATCTCCTTGTCTTAGTCGTCGAAATGATTTATTTCTGTTCCATTAATACTCAGGCGTTAGATCACGCCCACTTTTCGAGTTAAATTTAACTTTTAATGTATTAAAAAAAATCCATGTTAGAAAAAACCAGAGGATTTGGAGGGCGTCGCGGTATTTCATGCAAACCCCGCTCTGCGACTGCAATCAAACCACTACCACCCCTACGAGTTTACGCTCGCGCTTGCCACCCTGAAACATTTGTAATGACTAAAATGATTAATACATTTTAGATTGAGAGATTGCACGAGACAAAAAAGAGGATCAGAAACGTGGAAAAAGTAGGCCTCAACGACCGACTGCACAGTGAGTGCAACGCCGTCGGAAAAGTTTGTGGAACACACGCACCAAAAAAGGAAATGATTAAAGGTAGATTGAGCGAAATGTCCAACGACGGAATATATATATATATATATATAGATGAAGAGCAAAAGAAAGAGAGTGAAGGGAAAACACGTGTGAGAGAAACTGTGTGTAAGAATAAAGTTGAGTGTAGTGACAAGGTGACTGTTAAAAATATTAATTATAATGATACGCTCGTGAAAGTACTACTAACAGTAAGAATAATAATAAACGAACGAATAACACGAATTACACTAACATGATAATTAATAGGATTAAAGCGGCAGTGTAGGCGACCTTGAAACTGGTCGGGGTCACCTTCTTTAATACAGATAGCATATAAGCAAGAGCGACGACAAGTGTCATCATATTCAACTGATACCATAGTGACGATATAGTATATCACTTGAAGGAAGAGAGAAAGAGTGTTGTATGACTGATTGAGTAATATATATATATATATATATATATATATATATATATATATATATATATGTGCGCAAAAATCAAAAAAGGATACAATAATAGCACATTTCATTCTCTGCGAGTAGATTAGCAATTGTTTTGTTACCCTTAGTATTACTACTATTATTAATATTGTCAGTACTGATAGCTAAGATCTTTGGTAAGAAGATCTCAGTGGACCTCGCGTATCTCTTAATATTAAGAGACCTTTTCCATGCAAAGAGAGACCGCAAACATGGATAATAATATTAATAATAAAACAAAATTAATCACAGCTGCCCTTTCAGAAAGAAACGCAGACAAGTTTGCAGACGTAAATAAACGGACGCGTAGCAGACGATGCTCGTATTAACCAACTCACATTAAGTAACAACCGAGTCCAACAAAGCAAGCAGACGATTTTATGTTATATGGTATAATTGCCAAGCCAACAACTTCCTAGCAAACGTCAATGAAACATGGAGTGCGAGAAGGTAGGACGATGCTACCACGTGAAAGACACCCGATAAAAAATGGATGTAATGTCAGACGGACAACTGAATTACAATAGCACTGAGAAGAAACCTACAACAAAGAAGCAACACTTCAATTTTGATTCGATGTGTCACACAATGAGGACAAACTACGAAATATTGTTAGGTTTCATGCACAGCGAATAATATAAGCTTTTCTTATGTAAATCTAATAGACCGATGGGATTTGTTATAAAATCAACGACCCAACGGTTACACCAACTCGTCTAGTAAGATCATTCATGCAATTGCGAATAGAACGCACACGTCTTTGCAAACGTAGGGCCAATATAAGAGCGCAAACGTGTCACGCCGTTATTCACGCACACACACACACACACAAAAACTCACACACACCATAAGGTAAATAATCTTCTAAGACATGAAATCGTAGATACAAGAACAGCCAGTGAACATAGAAAAACAAGGTCGCCCCATTTACCTCCTCGAGTCATTATGGGGAGGGTGCAAGTATGTTGTTTTCCATGAAAACCAAATAAACCTGAGAGAGAAATATTACAAAAGAGAACACAACGCGACGAGTAATAATAATAATATCGAAATGGTGACTTCATCACTATCCTAACATAATTACCATATTTAATAATATAATTATTATCACAATGCATTATTATTACAGCACCGAATATTACCACACTTATCAACAACTAACATACGAAACTATAATAAATGACATTACAATAATCACGAGATATTACAGAACAGAGGTACATTATAAGGTAAAGCTATACAATATAATAAACCAATAGTAAGAATAAGGAGATTTATTAATATATCCTCTTTTTGCAGTAGCGAAACACTAACGAGAGATTAAAAGGAGGGGAACTGAGTCGTGTTTGCGTACTGGACAGATGGAAAATGATACATAATGCAATTGCAAAGAGTGTGTAGACTGAGAAAGCCGAAACAGTATCAACAATTACAAGTTAACAATTACAGTTTTTCTTATTCTGTCCGCGCGACAATTCTCATCAAAGTTATTCAACTTATCTCCTCAATCATTCCCCAAACTCGAAAACCCCAATCCTTTTAAGCAGGATCGCTAAGATCTTAACACCTTGCCAAAAACTAACTTGCCTCACACGAAGAATGCAGTGCCCGGATTATCGACGCTCTCCTGGCTCGCGCACACACGCCGGTTCATCGTTGTCCACCGAGTTTCCGATATATGTACTGATTCTTTAATGGTCGTCTCTCGCTAATGTTTACCTGCTACCAACAGCTATATGACCTTCACACCTATTTCTTGTGAATAAACGAAGGTATAAGATTCCCTCTGCATTTGATTAAATAAACGGTAGCACAAAATTAGACGGGCTTGCAATCTAGGTTAAAATAGAACCGTGATTTTTAATGTACTTTGCACGTAACACTCTCTTAAGTATTGGCAGTCTAGTCGAATGTCGACAACCCGTATTTACGATTTCAAATAAGATTTGAGCAGTCGCGTACGATAAACAATTGCGTCTCCATTATTGTGTGCTGGATATGTGCAGACATGTACCCTATAGGGCACACAGAATAGGCACTGGTTAAGATGATTACACTTGCGGCAATATCTTAAATACTACTTAAAAAATATCATTTTGTAACACCTACCGGATTCCGCTGTAAATCGTTGGGACTTCACTGTTATAGATGAAAAAAGAATTCACTCTCTCGAATTTTCTGACTCTAACAGCAACAACAGTGTGAGTAGCTTAGCTGAAATACGTGCCCGGATCAAATGAGTCTTTCTTAATATTAGTATTGATCTCTCATTATTGGAAGGTTTCATTTAGTGCTAGGTCGATCTTCGATTCAGTGAATTTGTATAAATGGAAAATAACTTCTGAAAACGATTTGCAAGCAGCAGGATAACTATGTGTCGGTCATTTGGCATGTTGATCTATTATCATGTGTGTCTTCTGAACGACTCCAACAATAAGACGGGCCTTCACAATAAAGTAAATCGGTTGCCACAGCAAATATAATTGTGAACGAAGTATCCCTGTCTATAGCGTACATAGAGAATACAATTGTTCATTGTCACCCGTACAGACATTCAGGTACACACACGGCCAATACAAAACAGAGAAGCTGAAATCCAGTCCAGGATGTAGTCAGGAACAGAAATGAGCTTCTGAAGACGAAAGATAATGCTTCGGGTTCCACTGTTTCTCTTAGCACACTTCGTTCGTTTACACTCCTACCTGACCATTTTCCCAATTCGAACCGAAATGAGACCATAAATATGAATGAAGTGACAGCGTAGTGATGAAGCAAGAAAACAAAAAGCACAAGAGCGTAATGAGGTGGCGAGAAGTCAAATAGCTAGTAAAACATGCGAAGCACGAATACGATAATAACACTTGATTCTAGAGCTGATGACATTAGTATTCCTAGCAACGATAAGAATAATGTAAATGGCAACAACACTAACAGACTGAAGCTAACATAGTCTGGCTCCAAGATCTCCTCCCGAACCGTTTTGCTGTCTTTTTCGCTGACGTTCAACCGCCTCTTCCCGATAAAATCACTGTGCAATAGAATATATCATGGTTAACGCCGGCTCATGGAAGAACCTAGCAGATCATGTTAGGTTCGTTGACATTGGCTAGGCATCAAATGATGTCCCTGTGATAGCTTAGTGGGAAACATATTTGCCTGCTAATCTTAGGGACATGTTGTGGTCTAGGTTTGAACCCAGGCATAGACACGCTTCGTCTCGTGATGGCTGGGAGCCAGCCGTCTGATGGAATGCCTAACGGCGATACCGGACGTAAAACTCGAAACACAGAGGCATCAGATGATGACAGACAAGTTTTACTGATAGGATCTTGTTTCGCAATTGGAGGGTCGCGATAAAAATACAATCTATTGTTAGAAATCAAACGTCGTCACAGAGCACACCCGCTGCTCATTGGCGGGTCACAACAATTTTACTGACGTCGTTGACTGCGGCTCACCGTAAATAATCGGGGGGCAAAAGGCAAGGGTAATGAAAAAGGTAGGGAAAATGGCCGAGGAGGGATGAAGCGCAAGGGAAGTTATTTCCATCCTGTTTCCAACAAAATCAGCAACAGAAACGACAAACAACAAGCAATGGGTCATATAGCGTTTGGCTACTGAGGTGTTGGCCAGGAGGTGAGGGTGCATAGAAAAAGATAGTTGGGAGGATGGGTGGTCAGTTGGGTTAATGAGTGGGTGGGTGGGTGCAATTCGATAAGCAACGAGGTCGAAGGGCGGAAGAAACGTGACGCAAAAACGGAACAACATAGAAGAAGAAACAGCGCCTTGAGGGAAAGAAGAGCAAAGCTGGATAACGTTGGAAGATTGTGTGAGTGTTGTTAAATGCCTGTGAAAGAAACCAAGTCCAGCGAAATCTAGCAGTGTATCATCTTCGCTATATTGACGATGATAATAATAATAATGAACATGGCGACACTATGATAAATACAATAGACACGTAATATGATGAAATAGTAGACATGAGTAAAATGATGATGACAGTGAAATACAGAGGATAACAAAATAATAATGATGATGATGATCATATGATAAAGATTATGTTAATGATGAAGGTGATCATAATAATGAAGACGATTGATGCGGATGGATGAAAATAACAATAACATAATAATAATAAAATAACAGTAATAACAATAACGACAATAATAATAATGACGGTGAATATAAGAATATAATCGATCATGGCGCGCATTTGGGATATTATACCAATCGACAGTGGACACCGCGCAAATAATTCCGGCTGAAGAAACACAACTAAGAAACTGAACAAGAGAAAAAAGAATGAACAACAAAAATAATAGTAATAACAGCAAAAAACAGCAGCAGCAGCAACAACAACAACAACAACTACAACGTTAACACTTACAGAGGAAGCCTCTGCTTGGAGGTGTATTATTGTTTGTGGGTTACCCCCGTGAGTTGGTATAAACCCAACGAGTATATACATATAAACATTAATAACAATGCCGAAGATAGTGACAATGATAATAATAATAGTAATAATAATAACAAATAGAAATAGAGATACGAAGAGAACAATTGAAGTTGATGAGCTCATACGATGGAATGGTGATCCTGATAAAAACAGGAAACTAGCGGAAGAAAAAGAAGAAGATGAATTAAAAAAGGTTATTATTCCGATGATGACGTAGACGTCGAAGGCGTAGAAACAACGTCAAGCATAAGAAATATACAAACAAGCTACCGAAAACACGGCTACACACAGACCCTACAGGAGTGTTGACAAGAGCAAACTCGGTTAAGGTTAGAAAGTTATATTAATATGATGAATACCGGCAGCGTAAGTGTTAAGAACATCGCAAAAGCAGACCTAGCAGAACGACACAAAAAGCAGAAAGAAATCACCTGTATTCGTCGCACGTACACGTTACTATTTCTAGACCCCGACGCGTGACTCGAGGTCACGTTCATGTGGAACACACGAATTCTGTTGGGAAAGGAGTAGCTCCAAGGAGACGGAGCACAAGACAGAGAAAAAGATAAAGTAATAATAACAACCACAACAACAATAACATTCACATCAAAAGTTTAAGAACGCCACAAACCACCAAACAATAATAATAATATTAATAATAATAACATCAAAACAACAACCCACAACAAACGATATATATATATATATATATATATATATATATATATATATATATATAATGCTATATATATATATATATATATATATAGCATTATATGTACGTGGTGTAAGTATAATGAGAAACAAGAAAGCTAGCAGACATAATTCTATCTAATTATTGAATATAACAGTAATAATAATATGAATAACATCGCTAATGTCAAAACAAATTAATAAATGACGAAACACATTACATATAACGCCTCTTTCTTCCGAGTCGCTATTGAAACATTTTTAGAGAAACCGTTCCCGAAAGCGCATAAAAACCTTTGTATGTATGTGACGATTTAAATCAAAAAAAAACTTTTCTTTAGCGTTTTTATTACTTGACTAGTATATATTTACATTTTGTTGATGAGATTGGGGAGTAATTAAATCCTACTTTATGAACAATAAGAATGTGGACCACTGGTTTGTAACAGCAGTTATAAATTCATTGCACATACCATTATAATAATACTACCCAGAAAAAGAGTCCGCAACTGACCCATTAAAAAATTTCCAAAATTGGTAACATATTTACCTTTGATATTTTATGTCTTTCGCTTTTTATTTACTGCACTTAAAAAATGACTTATTAGTTAACCCTGATATCCAGCTTCGCAGAATCGTTTTTATTGAAAGCTGAGACAGCAACTTTGAGCCGTTGTTTTCCAAAATGATCTTTTCAACTTAGCTAAACGTTCCTTTACTTTAATAAGCCTTGACATGTTAAGTCATTCCGAAACAAATTCGTTGCAGAATTCTGTGTCTCGTTAGAGCTATCTTATAAGACAGATTTCGTTAAAAGAAAAGAGGTATTAGTGTATTGAAGCTCGCAACAATGAGCCTTGAGTAGTTGTATTTAATCTTCTTTTGGAGGAAAAATGATTTTTGGAGGACTGAAAAAATGTCGCGAATTAATAGCATAGTTTTTAAACAAAGTAAAAACTATTGAGAAATTGTGCCGATGCTGGAGGCAATTGAGGCAACTTTGATAGAACTGACCTCCATTTCTAACAAGGCTTAGCATAACGATTGTCATTAAATAGAGTACAACTCCGGAATGGTTTCTCAAGAGCTCCGGCTTTATATCAAGTTGTTCAGACTACAAACTTAAATACGTGACATGAAAAATTAAATACTAAAGAACGAGTCTATATAGAATAACTAAAAAACAATTCATTATTAAATTAGACAACACTGAAATTCTTGAGATTAAGACGAATGAATAATAGGTTCATTAATAACAAAATGTCGCTATTTTGAAAAAAATTGGGAATACATGCAGGGTGACAGTTTTAAAGCTACCTAAATCTTCCTAATCGGTTATATCTTAGTGGAAGTGATTTTAGCTTCCATTTTTGTCATACAAAAGTGTATGTATGTGTGTGTGTGTGTATTACATAAAAATTAAAATAATTTTATTTGGCATGGTTTATGACCACTATAGTGCCTTGTTCAAATAATGGCGCGCGGCTTTGAATCCGAAAGCATTCACCCGCCCGGGAATGGTATAGAAGATGCAATGTTATGACCCGTTGCTTATGTGTCTTGATCTACATTTGCTTAGCTCTGTGCAAAATTTGGCGACCTACTGTGAAACCTTCGCTAGAAGCAGTTGTTGATAGTGAAGGTTGTGTTTTCAAAACTTCATAGGTGTCAGCGAAGGTCGCGTGTTATGTCGCTCTGGAGGCAACTCCGTCGGCCAGCGGTGCTAACGCAACGCTCTTTGCCGACCATCCAAGTAGCGCCCAATCGCACCGTGAGTACGAAACACCTGCGGAAAGCAGAGGACACTTCAGGGGTCAGACCACAATTAGATAGAACGAATTGAAAATGATCACGAGGCGTGAATCACCCCGCTTGCGTTGTTATAGACTCCTTTTGCGGATAACAAAAAATATGCTAGAATTGTATAGTTTTAAAATTTGACACTTGAATCATTAACGAGCGTTAGGGTTGAATCAGTCAGTATTCCAGATGCGTATAAAATCAGCACGGGCAAAGTAAAAATAAATATGCGAAATATTGTTCATGTCCGCTATGACATATGATATGGGACAACTACATGTGTAGCAAACTGTATACATTGGCATATTTTTGGATCGTGTCAGCTGTTTATAAAGCCAACTCAGTATTCTATAAAATGTATTTAAGCTATTTCAGAATATTAGATAGCTTACACTAAAATCGATTGTAAGCCTTATAAGTTTAAGGTGTTTATTTTGTGAGTGAAATAGTTAATACTGAAATGCTTTAGAGCAAAATTTTTGCGGTCTACCATTTCATACATGCGCACGGTTGCTGTGAGTTTGACACCCCTTGTGTCCGCTAATAGTAAAATAATCAGTTTGATAAATCGGTTCATAAAAACGAAATCTCGAACACATGCTTATCTTTTAACCGTTGAAAGGATGTTGAAACGATCATAGGACTTTGCAATATATCGCCCTTTCAGACATATATATATCTCGGTAATGCTTTGATCCAACTGTAGCTTAGGTTGGTACTGACATACTAATTCAACTGCAATTTATCGTTGACTACCATGTTGATTAACTCATCGGCTTGTAATATAGGCTATAGTAACATCATAAAACCTTGTGTGGATTCTAGATTAATACAATGACGAGTACTGATTGACGTGTATCTAACGAGTGGCTAACCAATTTGACCCCGACTTCTATTGCAGATTGTAGAGAGGCACAATGACAATGTTTACGTAAGGATTTTTTCGATTTTTAATACTTTGCATCCTCTATATTCTCTTTCTTGCTCTCCCTTTAAACTTCGCCATTTACTGTCGCCATTACCACACCCGCCGCCGCCGCCATTTCACGGCTGTTATCATTGTTTTGCACTTGAGCTAATGCACATTATGTTACGCCAGCAATGGCCTTCGAAACAAAATAGCTAGCATTTCTTTACAAGATCTTCCATTTTACCCACTGATTTAAGCACTGCCGTTGATTACTGCTGCGAATTAGTGATAATTACTATTACTGCTCGTTCATACAGTCGTTGCACCCTTTTCGTCGATTAGGTTTGTGCCAGCGGTGCGCTTACCGTTTTCACCCAAAAAATGATTGCATTTTCAAGAGGAGGTTCATGAAATACGTACAGAGATACGTAAAAATAATTACCTGCACTGAACGATATATTCTCCAGTTTCGTATGCTTGTTAATAACTGTGCATTGTTTTGTTTACCGAATTCCTCTCCTCCTGATAATGGCCACTCTAAATCTGTGCCAATGTTGTCACAGCGTGTGTACTATTCAGTCAATTAGAGTGTCATATCTTTAATATAAAATCTCCTTTTATTCTTATATTCCGTAACCATGTGAATGCTAACGTCTTTATTTTTTATCTTTTCTCGTTTTACTTCCTTAGTCGAACTACGAGCTTTCAAAATTTATCTATATATCAATCTGAAATTCTCAACGAGTCGCGCTGTGCCTCCTGTAACTTCTAAGTAATCGTCATCATAAATATAATAATAATAATAATAAAGCGCAGTCGTATGCTATAAATCTTGCAAGCACGAACCTTGTGTGCAACTAACGTATTCTACGTAAAATTCTTGCAACGGAAGCTTGGTGCACACGTACTCTAAGTTTAGTAAATACAAATAAAGTAATAATGGCTGATTATATGTGTATGAGGGCCGCTGTGAAATCGTAGCATGCCGTCGAGCCTGAATCTGCCTAATGAAGGTCATCATTTTTTTTACACGCAACTAATGTAAGACAATTAGTAACTATTAATTTTCGGTGCTTTGTCTGATTCGTGCGTTATAGCACGTTTCGGGCACGCGGACCGATAAAAGCAAATATGGAGGTCGTTTCATGGTGACAGCTCTTCCGGGAGATGGAATCGGTCCCGAACTTATTGGCTACGTAAAGGAAGTGTTCCGGTAAGCAGCTTATTGATATTCTGCTTTGGCGGATTTTTTCGATGGGAACTTTTGTTTAAAAGATTTTTGAAAGCTGATGGTTTACTTAATAGGTGAACATAAGCGAAATAACATCGCAATAGATATAAAGGCCCAAGAATCGTTCCTCTTTAGGTAGACAATGACGCCACTTAGTTGAGCAATTAGTAACAAAGGCAATCATGGAGGACATGATATTAACATTTGTTTATAGATTTAGCCTGATCTGCGTATTACACGGTGTTGTTTAATGGAATTTTTCAATGTTATATTATTATCATTGCAGTTATGGTGGCGTGCCGGTGGACTTTGAAGAGGTTCACCTAGACTCATCCAGAGACGACGTCGACTTGCTGGAGCAGGCCATCATCGCGGTCAAGCGCAACGGGGTTGCCTTAAAGGGTAACATTGAGACGCGTCATAACGACCCGAATTGCAAATCCAGAAACGTTGAACTACGCCTCCGGCTGGGCCTGTTTGCTAATATTGTGCATGTCACCTCACAACCAGGCATTGAAACGAGACACTCTGGAATCGATATCGTTCTCATTCGACAGAACACCGGTTCGCAATTTCTTTACCATTTGCCTCAGTAATGAGACCTTTGAATCAAAAAAACAGTTCACTCATGCGGATAAAGCCACCCGATTTTATGGGGATGTATACTTATAAAATACACTATCATGATATATACACGTATTTTTTTTTACCTTTTTGTTTGATTTTGCAGAGGGCGAGTATTCATGCGAAGAACACATGTCTATTAAGGGCGTCGTCGAGTCGCTGAAGGTTATCACTCAGTCCAAAAGTGACGAAATTGCCCGTTACGCTTTTGAGTGGGCTAAGAATAATGGACGCAAGAAAATTACCTGCGTCCACAAAGCCAATATTATGTACGTATACTTGTTCAAAGCATTGTATTTGTTCTAGGCATAATAAATGCAGTCTCTCGAACACCCATTTTTCGGTTAACCTGCCGTATAATATTGGGATTATCGATGAAAGTGTACTTATTGCAATACGAAGATAACTAGCTAGACTACCATGGCTTAGACATAAGATTAGAACATTAAACATTAGTTTGCTAGTGGATTGATTCTTTTGATAATAAGGAACTAAAAGCCACCACAGATCTATTTTCTGGAGCTTTTTTTTTCATCCGATCAGCTCGCAATGATTAGGAATCTTTCTGTAAATATTTTTAGACTTCTTTACCCGTAGACTTATCCTATTGATTTTTTCTCCGTTTGGTGCTATTTCAGGAAACTATCTGACGGCCTATTCCTGCGTTGTTGTACTGAGATTTCGAAGGAATACCCCGAGCTGGAGTTCGACAACATCATCATTGACAACTGTTCCATGCAGCTTGTGTCTAACCCGAAGCAGTTTGACGTTCTTTTGCTGCCAAACCTGTACGGTAATATTTTAACGAATCTCGCCTGCGGAATTACTGGGGGCCCAGGTATCGCCTCCGGACGTAATTATGGCCGCGAATACGCCGTTTTCGAAACTGGCACCCGTAACACGGGAAAATCTATTGCTGGCAAAAATATCGCTAATCCAATTGCGATGATGAACGCTGGCGTCGATTTGCTGTATCACCTTAATTTAAGGGAACACGCTGAAGTGATTGCAACGGCTATTGATAAAACGATTAATGTTGATAAGATTCACACACCCGATCTTGGCGGTCAAGCGACCACTACAGATGTCGTGCAGAACATCATCAAGGAAGTACAGAAGCACGCTTAGAAAACCAGACAACGATAATAAAAATTTGCAGCAAAACTGTCCATATCGTACTTCAATCTTCTGCGACTAAGTACAGCCAAAACTATGTGAGCTACGTGACGATTGTAATATTTGATTATACACCTGTAGTAGAATCGACATCATTTGAACGTGGAGGACCTTGCCAGTGTTAAACTGAGATTGTAATAAAGAAATGACGAATCTACCAGGTCAACAAAAGGTTTAAAGTAACCACCTGAGTGGATTTAATCAATAGACAGACCATTGTAAATGCACGAATATAAGGGTTGAGAATGTGTCATACAGGTGCAACAAGCGTGATAGAAGTATGAACTATATGTGTAGATACACGAGCTGAAGAAGGGCTCGTCTAGTCCACTACTTGCTCTTAGTTGATGCTTAGTGTTGAGATCATAAGAATCAACAATAATCGAAAGAAAAAATGCTGGACGAAGTGTATAAGGAAATGAAATCACGAAAAGGCAGTTAGGGTTCTGAAAGCTCGGGGCGTCCTATTCAACATCATGAAGCGTATTCATTTGAAATGGCAAATTTTGTTGAACGGTGACCTCATTTGATCCTTTTAACGTGTGCACTCTATTTGGTGTGAGATCTATGACAATTCGAATACCAGAAGTAGTAGTGGTTCTTTAATGATGATATTTATTTTAATGAAAGAGCATGCCCACAATAAAAGTGATGTAAATTGATGGACTTTCCCATGTGCGTCATCATTTTCTGTGTCGGAAATGTAATCTTAGAACTCTGCGTATTATGCATATTATCAGTTATTCAGTCTTGGAAAATAGACTGAATAACTGATAGAGATAATCAAGCAAAGACACACGACAGTGTTCCTTTTAATGTACGGCGATTTGAAAATTGTTTAGGTCATATAATCCCTTATTTATAGGTATAGGTATTTAGGTGTTCGTATGACGTAATCACTTCTCCAATATACATACATATATAGGGCGAAGAAATTCCTCCTATAACCGCTGATTACGAATAGTTTGCTAATTTAATACACTATCCTAGAGGCGTGTAGCTAAAACTGTAGACTTCTGAGAAGGACAATAGTATACTTCCCTTGGTGACTATATGCTGATATGTAGCTTAAGTTGATCGTGGGCTTCGATGAAACAATACTATGAAGCTGGGCCTCTTTTACATTGGATAGGAATGTGATGTGATTTTTGGATTGACATAATCGATTTTAATCAATTCGTTGTAATCATGCGTATGAACATTAAGTTAGCGAGTGTCGGATTCTATTTTGCATGGGTACGGGATTAATGATTGCTTTCTTCTTTGCAAGTTACGAATTACTTATAGGAACCACTTATCTCTGCTTAATATACTCAGTAACACTGATAGCTTTAGCACAAAGGCATTCATTCAGCCAAGGGTAGTTTTCTTCGATGTATCATAAGACCAGTGGCAGGGCGCTTATTTCCAAGATCACTTCGATTAAAAAGAGACATGCTAGATACAAATAACTGTGACATGAAAATGTCCCTTCTGTAACGTTGGTATCTCAAACCATGCGCGAACTTAAATGTTACGTCGGTTACTGGCAGTACTCTAGAGAAATTAGTAAAGGTTAGCAGCTGTAAACAATGACTAAGGTACAGATTGATTTGTAGACTATTCTGAGGTAAATAAGAAATATGAAATGTCAAAAAACGAACAGTCGTGATATTAGAGTACCTCATAAGTTCTCGGCCTAAGTGGCTTCCGTGAAGGCGTCATTAGTTGACAAATAACGGTTCAGTTGCTTTTCCTTTAAATAAGTTTATGTTCTAAATAAACTTCATTACACACACTTTTGAGTGCCAGCATTTTATATTAAAGGGTTGCGTTGACTTACTTATTGTATAATGGCTGACATTTAGAGCTGACGAACCTCATAAATTACTCATTCGTTCTTACATATTCACATGAATCAATATGCAATAATTCAAATTTACTTCGGTTAGTGAAAATACATAAGGGTTACATAAAGCTGTGATCTGCATAACCGGAACGGATAACATTTCAAGCGATTTTCTTAATAAGATCCTCTTATTCAAAATATTTTGCAAAGTTCAGTGAAATTATCTGCAACATTACCGTTTTTGTTGCCATCATTGTTAAGTAGATCTAAGACAACATTGTACAATAATAATTAGAACGGGTGGGTTTTTTCATAGTTCATTTAACAACAGTCGTGAAGTTGTACAGAAAAAGCTATTTAGCTGCCAAGGAACAAAGTACTTTATATTCGGCCTTCCATTGATCTAAAACAATCCTTAAGTGCGTACTTCGTCAATCTTACGTACAGAGAGGAAGAGGTATCCTAAATGAATAAAGGCTACGGTACTTGAAATGCTCTGACGTGATCTGAGCCTGTACTGCAAAGGCTTAACGATTTTTACCAAGTCCTGGAGCGAGGCAGTGAGATGTGACCAGGCATTATGGAAGTCTGTCAAAACAAAGCAACTTGGTCAAACTGAGTACGAAAAGGACACTTAATCTCCATGCTACGTTGGACGGCTTTTGACAACTACTTTCGAAAAAAATGAGTCCCAAGTGCATCGTAGGAAGGCTCATTGTTAGTTCTTACTATGAATTATGAGAATCTCAATCAAGTTTGCGTGAAAACACAAAAAAGTTCCTGTTTCCAATTGAACGTCTTTCTCAATATTTAGAGAAAATTAGCGTTATACCTGAGCAGCACGGGTCGCGAAAACAGATATCTTTTTTGGTTTTGCAAGACAATACTTTTACGTCGTCTTCGTGAATTTTCCTTCAACATTTGACATCGCTTGTCCATTAGCTCTGTTGTTCAGATTTGCCTTAGCTTGAATACCGAGAAATTTACCGGGACTCATTGTGGATGACGGGAGTTGCTGGATTGGACCCATTTGATCCGGAATAGCTCGGGGCAACAGTTACAGCTTTTCTTTTTTTTTCAGTTAACGTCCGTGATCTGCCCCACGAAAAGAAGGACCGTTACACCGACGATCTCGTATTTTTCAGTAAAAGTTGATCCCACTTTTAACAATTACTGACAACATTCAGATGGCATGTGGACAACTTAATTAGTAGTATTTGCCATAATTAACAATACCCCCCTTTAAAAGCATACCTTTTGGGTGTATTTCAAGAATATTGTCCTGCCCCTGTAGCAATTATGGCGATTACTTGTCACCCCGGAAAGCAATGTATACTGTGTTCATGCGGTATGCACTAACAAACAGATAAATGATGTGAACATCATTTAGAGCCTGTTTATAACTCTATAAAAGAGTTGAATATAATCGGGCTTGATTTCCATATAAACCAAGTAACTAGATCACTTATTGTCAGTACCATTTTTAATTACCAATATCTAATGTCTTATTCACTTTTTCATTCGTTATTGCTGAATATGTGGTTCGGTGTGAATATGACGGAGCGTCAAGATGGTGATTGGTTGGTTTAGATGTTACTTTTGATGACCGCTATTAGATAGAGCTAGTCTATCATCTTAGTCTATAGTTGGAATGTGGTCTAAAGCAGACCGCAACATCTTCCATAGGCTAATTCAATTCCGTAACATATTAAATTATGCATTGATATTAAAGAAAGTAGGTTTTATAGTAGAGACGACGTTAAAACTGGCTTGACGTGACAGGTAAACAATGTATCATCATGAACGGTTTTCCGTTAAAGGTCTTATGTACAAATTCAAATTATGTAATTTGTACAATAACGTTTCCTTTATTTGCCAATGGTTTCATCTTATTCATGTGGGCACAATCGTCAGCTAATACTAGTGACCTTCAAAAAAAAGGTAAACGCACAAAAAAGTGAAATAATGGAATTGAAACTCACCTGGGGATAACATTAACACCAAGTAAACGGTTATTTAAGGAGCACAGGTCTCGAAGGTTGCGCAAGGCACTACTTGCTGTTGCAACGATAGAATATCTTCGTGAGATCCAATCAAAAACTACGTTGGCTATTTGTTATTCGAAAGTTGTAGCTTATGCGTCATACGCTCTGCCCACGATTTGGGCATATCTCCCGATAAGTAACGACACCAACGCGATAGTAGTAAGCCTTATCCCAAGCTCGTCCAGAGCCTTCACGTCTCTGCTAGGAACTGATTGTTTACTTGCCTTCTAAAGCCTTACTATACCGGTAGGAAGTGCTTCGAATTGGAAAAAAAAAATAGAGAATTTTGGAGCGCTTATTCGCGAATACCAACTGCGGTTAAACAACGGAAAGTTAGCTTCCTTGAAAATCAGGACTATAATCGGTTTCGCTCAAAAAGACGGTAAAACAGCGAGTCGACGAACAGTTTATGAGTCTTGCTATATCGTCTACCACGCTCCGGGTTACTACCATTCCAACTCCAACAATTCCATATCACTAACAGTTAGGAGGCCGTCGCCGCCGAATACTGCCCAGTTGTGTCTATCTTATCGCACTAGCGGGGTTATTTTAATTGCCATAGCCATTAGTGCCGCTGTCACACATATGGTACTTTTGTAGAAGTTTTCGCTTTATAGAAAGCCTTCAATTGAATGCTAGATACACAATTTCCGGAGCATTATTTATTTTTCATTAGACGAGCTGCCTGTCATCCATTTTATTTAATAGTTACCTGCTATTTACTAAAGAAATAATTCTATTAAGTTAGCAAATTACGATATGCTTACCAGGTTAAGGGCTCGCATCTGTGCGACAAAGCCGAAATAAATCGCAATGATAATTTATTATCAGTTCAACCAACTTCTTGATCCATTCATTGCAAAAAGCGCAGGAACAGGATCTACGAGAAATCCCATTAGAGGAAGAGCTAGGTAGCTACATAATTTGATAGAAGAAACGCATAGAGAAGAACAGTTGATCCTGTGATTGTCGATCTTTTAAATGTTTTTATTTATATATACAGATCTCCCTTGTGAACCTGCTAGCATATTTCGCAGACAAAGGACGTTCCAAAGCATTTCTGATCCTTTTAACAGGTCCCTTTACTCGATACTTGATAACGACAGGTCTGTGTCTAGTGTGATCCAAATGCAAAAAATGGTTTGAAGATACATTTCTGAGGCTCGAAACAACAAAACCAAATACTAAACATCATGAAAGGTTACGCTGTAGCATAATAAATGTTGGATACGTTCATAAAGTAAATCCTAAGCACACCAGTCATATATCTATTCCTATTTCATTGACATTCTTTTAGCTTTTTTCGCACTGTTGAGCTTATTGGCGCCATGCATTGGCGTCAATTCGAAACCGCCCGCAACCGACTTCCGTTTTCTACTAGAAGCCTTCCCGTTATCGGTTGATGGGGTCTCAAAATACACCGGCGTAGGGTCGCCATCTTTTGGAGTTTTCATAGATGCAAGCTTTCCGGCGGGAGTAAAATCGAACGTGACGCTCTTTCGTTTTTCTTTACCCAGAGACTCACGAGGCGATTTCAAAATTGGCCGCGGTGTGTTAGCTTCATCAGATTGTTTGTTATTATTCGGTGTCGAGGCGATAGATTTTGCTGTAAAATACGCATAAACAGTAGAGAGTTAGTGACATGACAACGACTAGACACAGTCTTTCAAAATCAATAAACTCTCGGATACAAGACCTGTATGTTCAGTCACGATGTATTTTGACAACAACTAAAATCGATGTATGCCATAATCTCTTACTGAAAATAACTTTAAGTCATATGAATTTATAAGCTGAATCTGTTAGTAGGGATTTAGGCTTATGCTAAGGCATATTAATGCCGCCTGAATTTTTTACATAAATTTGATACCGTAAGATTTGCAGTAATAATGCTACCTACCTACTGATTGTGTCTCTCGACCCTTCAATGTTTTTTGCTTGGCTGTTCGTGGCTCAATAAGAAAGTTGCTGTTGCGCTTTACTTTCTTGACACTTTTCCTTGGCGTACCCGTAAGAGTAAATTCACTGGTAGCAGCCCTTCCTAGTTTAATTCGAAGAGTCGTCGCAGCTGACTGTTTGCTTACTTTAAATCCTTGGTGCTTTTCGGACTTCGCCACCTTGTCCTTAATGGCTGCCATCTGATCGAACTTCCTTTCGATTTTCTCGGACTTCTTTTCGATGGGAACGAGTTGAGGGCACTCCTCAACATCACCTTTGTCATCGTTATTATCATTATACTCAGCATCATCGTAGCCTTGCAGTGTGTCAAAGGCAGGTACTGCAGGAGGCTTGCTTTGCTTAGGCATCTTGACCTGTTTGGGCAAGGCTTTAGGCTTAGGAACCGGTACATGACTTGGTAGCTTAAGCATGTTGGAACCGAATCTTTTGCCAACTTTACGAAGCGCAGCTTTACGAGCTAGATGTTTTATATAGCGTTTTTTCGCTTCATCGCGTTCTTCAAACTCTTGGTTTCGGAACACTTCGAGATAATCTTCGTCCAACAGATCATCGCTATCCAACTTCTGTTCCTCGTCTTTGATGGCGATCACCTTTCCGTCTGTTCGAATTTTGACGCGAACGCCGGGCATTGTATCAATTGTGTCTTCAAACTCCTTTGGTGTCTGCCTATCAATAAACACTTTATCGATCTCGGACATGTCCACGCTATTGGCTGATACAAACGAAACGTACATCGGCACTGATTTACCGACGAATGAGGCTAAATGGATCGAGTTTACGTTGGCTTCTCCACCGGGAAGATGCTCCGGTATAAAGCTATCGAGAATAGCGCGGATATTGTCAGTTATTTCTTGATCACTATGGTCCGTTAGGTTTCCTACCTTCATCGATACATTAGGTCCTTCGGGTGTGATGTGGATTAACGTCCGTGTTATAGCCTCCTCGAGAGCTTGTTTAAGCTTATCTTCATCCTTTATATATACACGAATAGGCATTTTACGGCGACGGAAAAAAAGAGTACCCAGAAGTTTGGGCATCTTGAACATGATACGATGGTCACAGAGAAAATGATCGAAAGCCTTACATAGCTTGCGTTTAGCCTCATATGACTTGAACTCTGTCTCAAGTTGCATTACGGGCATTACGTGAATTTCTCGGTCGATTCCCATCGTGCGCAGCTTGTGTTTCCATTCATTTGCATATCGCTCATGATCAGCCCTGAAATACCGAGGTAAGATAAACATAGCAAATACATTTGCTAATCTAGAAAAAAAAAGGTTGCAATTACAGCTGAGGTATAGATTTCGCAATCATTGGTCTTATTGTAGATTAAGTTTGTTTTTCTCCTATGTAGAAGGCATTAGAATGTTAGTGTGATTTTTGGCCTATGTTCAAGTCTGATTAAATAATATACATAATCCCGTGTATCTCAAAATATACTTTGCTAATCTCATTTAAATTCATATTATATATATATATATATATATATATATATATATATATATATATATATATATATATAGACAGATATGAAGGCAATCGCGAAACTGAAGCATACGGTAATGCCAGTTAAGTAGAATCTTGCTAACATACGTACACACTAACAAAACATAGATATCTTTCAATGACGTATGAACAATTTCCGGCACAGGCAGAACAGTATTCATATGAAGTACGTTTAGTTCTTTTTGCTAACCTTTTGTTTCCTTTTTCAGAGTCTTTGCACCCCACAATAAAACAAATTTCATCTTCCTCGGTGAGTAAGCAGTGAGGGAACGTGAACGGAATCATGAGAATTTTTTGGCATGCCGACATCTTTTTCACTGTCAGCTGCAAATTCACAAACCGTTCCTGGCGGTCATCTTCGTCTATAATAGATTTTTTCTCTTTCTGTGCTATTTCATGATCACGGACTTTCCTGAAAGCCCTTACAGCTTCCAAAATTTGATCCGTTTTTACTAAGCGCTGCTGCGAACTCATGCTAATTAATCTACGATCATATAGTGAAATCCACAAAAGAATTATTGAGATCGTGTCTTTTCTGCTTTAACATGCACGTCTGGAACCGCTAGCAAGCAGCGGTGGTATTGCCGGACCTCAAACAAGCCGAACGTAAATAAATCCACGAGGTTTGAGAAGGCAGCTGTAGACTATCGCTCCTTGCGCATATATATTAATCGAAAATTATTCTAATCTACCTTCTATCACTGCATTTTATGAAATCAACAGAAAGTGCTGAACCGAGATGGCTACCCCGATAAAATTGTGTAGATTTTGGGAACCAGTCTAAGTATAAAGTGTTGAGTAGATGTTGACTGTTATAATTTTTTGAAAGAGCGCGCGCTTCCACATTAGAGCTGGCAGTAGTTTCGGATTAAACAGTGGTAGCAGCTTCCTTTTCTTGGTCGCGTTCACCATGAAGGCCAGCGGCCTGGTAAGAAATTTGTAAAATTTTACCCAAACAACAGTAAAAGGTTTGCTTGAAAAAGCATATGACTCGTTTCTTGACCTGTATTAAGATTGTTGAATGCAACATTCTACATGCAACAGAAAGTCGCCATTAAATCTATGTGAAAAGTGTGCAATGCGTGATTACACGTGTTCCGTTGTGCGATTATGATCCGTGCGATATAAAACTCAGTGGGATGCAGGATCCATTTTATACGCGAAAGAAAGTCATATCAAATGTGGCATTGTTTTTTTTAGCAGCCTTGCAGTTGCCAAGTGTTATAATAAAAACCTTCGTTACTAACATATCTCCAGTGCCTGCCGGACTCCGGTTTATATTATAGTAACCAGTAAGGTAACCGTTGGAAGAACTGACCGTTTTAGCTGCGGCAGTATTGAAAAACTAAGTTTCCAGGTTACAGCAAGAACATGTGCTTTACATGTACCGTTCATCCTAATTTTAATACCAACTTAGATGCACCATCATGCTACCGGTATCCAAAACATTGGTTCCGTCAGAGCAGTTTATATTATTACTGTCACTGAAATGCGACCGTCATCATTACTTCCCTAGAATACAATATATCATAATGCAAGACGCTTCCTCTTCTTTTTCACTAAGTGAAATTTTAGTATTATGATGAAATCCATGCGCGTCAACTGAAGGGATGAGATAGACCGTTTGTGACGCGTGGCCGTCCGGTTTTCGGTGGCCCGAAGAGCAACGGATCAACACTCACCCACAAGATGATTGCCGATTCTGAAGTGTTTATAAATAATTAGTTATTGCAGAACCTTTTTCAACAGTTAGGTCGTCCAACCGTTAACCAAACGATGATTGTAACCTGTATGTTGTTTTCTTTGCGTGTTACTAACCGTTTGGAAAACCCAACAGCTTCGTCACTATGAACTGGTGGGTCGTGCCCACCCTACGGAGCGGGACCCTCACCCGAAGCTGTACAAGATGTACATATTCGCTCCGGACTTCGTTACGGCAAAGTCCCGTTTTTGGTACTTTATCAAAAAGCTCAAGAAGGTGAAGAAAACCACTGGTGAGGTCATTTCCATTAAAAGAGTAAGTACTGCGATTGTGCAAGCGACAACTTGCATGGTTGATATGGTCATTGGTTTCAATATTATCTCAACAATGCATCTTAAAGCAAAATTCCAGTAGTATTCTGCGGCATCCTATGACATAAAACGAGACCTATAATGAATTATGGTGATAGTAAAACAGTTGCAACACATTAATCAGTGTCCGTTGATACAACTGTTTCAATAGAACCAAAACAATTCGGCATAATTCATCTAGTATACACAGCGCTCTTCGATTTCCGTTTTTGCAAAGCTTGTATTTGCAAACCGGAAGGTTTAGGCGCGATATAAACGTGAGCTTGAACATCTGTGTCACTTCGAAGCTGTGAAGTGAATTTTAGTTTAGGCTTACAGACTTAACAATGAGTAGTTATCATTTGTAAGAATTTTTATGTTCCGGTAATAACGACTCGAATGTTTTTGCGAAAAAAGTGGGTGTAACCTTTGAAGCTTCATTTTTAGCTGTGAGCTCGTTTTTATGTTAAAACGCTTTCTAGTAGCATTCAGATGTTATTTTATGGGAGACAACGATTCGGGTTTCGGGTCTATTAATATCGCTTCTTCTATCTACTAAAGATAAGGAGTGCCGTACAATCTTTAAATACTTAACAATATATATACTTTTTTAAAATCAATCTTTTGTAATAAAAAGAAAATTCTTCGCAAATGAGTACAAGTTTGGTACATATTATTGTACCAGATACTTGTGGTAACCTTTTTTATCGTTTTAATCGACTAAATGCCTCTTGCTATTGTAGATCCCTGAAAAGAACCCAGGAAAGGTTAAAAACTACGGTATCTGGCTGCGATACAACTCACGGTCGGGAATCCATAATATGTACCGCGAATACCGTGATGTTACAACCGAGGGCGCTGTAACGCAGTGTTACAGGGATATGGGTGCTCGCCATCGCGCCCAGGCATCGTCGATTCAAATTATCCGTGTTGAATCGGTTCCGGCCGCAAAGACTAGGCGTGCCCACATTAAGCAGTTCCATGACCAGAAGATCAAGTTTCCCCATCCGTTCCCGATCAAAAGGAACTTCCACGCACAGCGCTTTGCTGCTAACAGGCCTATTGTTCGGTTCCAGTGAACAGCGTGTCCGGAATCTAACGATCTTTACTGGTCGAAAGCTGGACCTCGTGTGTCGCGCAAAATGTGGTATCAATAAAAAGGGTTCGGAAGGAAAAATTGAGTTTCTTCCTCTTCGTAACAATAGCTAGACAACAATATTACATAAATGCAGATATCGCGCCGATGGCTTGCTGTGGACTGTTCATACAGATCAAGTTAGAATTCTGATTGTTTAGTACTAATGAAGGAAACCAGCAGATTTTGTCAACAAGCTAGCCACCGATGGACTTATTCAGTGTTCTCGTGTAGAATTATCCTAGAAATAGTAATGTATTATTGTTGTATACTGATATATGCTGTATTAAAAAGCACATTATTTTTTCATCTGTAATTTAATGTAAGTGATATGTTGCAAAGCTTTTACTCGTTGAAGACAACAGACATTTAAATAGGTACTTAAATAAAATCTATTTCTATTTCGTTGATTTTAGCTTGGTCTGAAAGATGAGGTCCGGTATTATGATGGCTTTTGATGCTGTATATTGCGGTACTTAGTGCTTGCTAGGTCGAAATGTGCGGATAAAAAAACAATAGAGTAGATAATAGTTATTGATGCTGACAGTTTACTGGCCGCACCTTTAAGCTTAAATTTAAATAGAACAGTGTTTATTTATGAGCTTAATGTATTTTTGAGATAAAGATGTATGCTAGTTTTTGATTACAGAACGTATTAAGAGCTGACTGAGACTCCCAAATTTTCGCGGAATAAGCTGACTGCTAAGTTGTTGCAACAATTTACATCATACGTTGACATTTGTCGAAGGTTTCTTAGCAGAAATGTGTAGATAAGAATCGATCTCATTAGTTGGAACTTCTAGTGTAATTGTTAACCCAGCACGTTCGTCTAAAACGTTATGTCTAGTGGACTCATAGAGAATAGCCAAGTAAAGTAAAACTATCATCGCTAAACGTATAAAGGTATGCATTGGAGCTAAAGTAATAAAAAAAGGAAGCTTCAAAACCAAAGCTTCTATATATATAAAGGCATAGCGTCCAAATTGAGATAAACTTTGTCGAACTGGGTTCTGTTACTATTAGTACCAGATCAGAGCTGGTTTATTCTAATATAAAATGACAAAGTGGTCATGGTGAACAAGAGGACGTCGTTTGCGGAATTTGAATAAATATCAGCCTTCATCCAATCTTTTCACGCTGGAGGAACCCCGCTAATGTTAAAAACTTCTTTTACGCCCTTGGATGTTCTACGCAATATCCAATTTTCATGTAGGTGCTAAAATCCTCGAGAAAGACTTCCATGAGGTTATCTGGTCCTCAAAATACTCAATGCAGTTTCAAGGGCTTGAAAATATATAAAAATTAACCAAGAATTCATTTCCGATTTCGAGAAGAGAATTTTCGATACAAGTTTTGGCTGAACAAACTGACAGCCTAAAAGGGCCATCAATTTGAGCGAAGAATATCATTTGCTAATAACATCTTCCAGATAGGCTCCAACTATTAGACCTTTTGAGATCTTGCACTATTGTAGTTTTATCACATATTCTGGACTATTGGCTAATTATATATTTGCTGCTATTACTTAGACGGCTTACTGTGGGATGGACACCGTTTCCCGCTCCCTTCTTATTTCGAGATGCCACATAGCGTCTGTTTTTTTATAATTAATTTTAAGAGAAACGTTCAGCACCGTGTGGTCAAAAGGCCTGCAGGCAGTTTGAGCCCCAGTACTGCAAATCCTCCCTACAATCTAGCAGAACTCCCAGATTTGAGCAACTTTTTTGTACCATTTAGCATTGTATAATTCTCGAATTGTAGAGGACAATTTGAATGATCATGGCAATATTATTATATTTTTGCAAGATAATGGAGTTCTACTTTGTACTGTTTATACTCTATCATTAATCATTATTCCAATATAGCTTAGATGAATTGATAGTCTTTGCGACTGACCATGATCCTGCTCTAAAAAAGTTACGGTATAGAGCTAGCAGGCGGTGTTTTTTGTGAAGTATTTAAGCCCGGTTCTGCTGGACTGGGCGATGGTTTTCTTTTGATAAATTTGATTTTCTTTTGCTTTCTGGACACCAATTGGATCAATAGGAACTGTCCGACCTGGTGAACACTATCACGACAAAAATTTCTGTGTACGTTTCAAAGGTTTTTTTTTTATTCGCTTTGCAAACTCTTCTGCCTTATGCGGTCTTTGTGAGCGATTCGTATCTTGCACGACGCCATCCTCACTTTGGCGATGTTATGCTCTTCTTCCCCTACGATGGTTGCTGAAAACTTAGCATAAGGTACGACCAGCGCTGACACTTGTTGACACTTACGTAGCGATCCACCTTTGACTGTTTCAGTTTGTTTTAGTATACTCTCAATCGTCACCCGAGCATTCGTTCCGATGATTAGTGACCATCGTCCCCATTCGGTAAGGACCTTTAACGCAATAAGAATTCTGTTAGTCTGTCTAGTAATTATTCCCTTTGATTCTTATAAAGTAATGCTTTTATTTTATGTACACTACGCTTCGCTTCATTTATCCGAGCTCAGACTGTACGAAGCTATGTGCGCTGGTTTTCTTCCTGAATTGTTTAATTCAAGAAATTCTGTCCTCGAAAAACAAGTGGCACCGTCGGCCATCATATGACGAGGAATATAAAAAAAAAGTGGAAAATTTTCTTAGAATTCAAATAACCTCCGTGAATGGGCGTTTATAATACCCAAAAGTTTGTGATCGATGGTCGCTAATGCTAGCTTTTTACCGCCGGCTCCATAAATTCTAAAAGAACATGGCTGAGTGGAGTGGCTGTGTGTGGTTATTGTCTAGGATCGCTTCGGTTGTTTACTAGGTAGATTTCTTGACAAATTGGCCACGGAGCTCTTGTGGATTCGAGCTGCTGATCAACACCAGGAAACCATACTGCTTTCCTAGCTGTTTCATTTTTTTATACCCGTAATGTTATCATACCCTTTGTGAGGTATTCGTACCGCTGCCTCCTTTATACATTTTGAACTTATGAACTTTTCACTCCAAATAATGACGTTCTCGATGACCCGTGACGCTTGCTTCACAACTATGGAGAACAGTATACTTCTTTTCAACTATCAACGTTTCGCAGTTTTTCTTTTATTTTAAACATTAAATCCGCATCCGTGGCTCCGTTTAACCTGGAATGGTTAAGCAGCAGGTCGTCTAGAATATAAAGAATGCACGCGTACTTTACAGGTTTTGTCGCGCCTTTACCGTCTTCTCTGTTCAGTGGCCGAGTGCGTCCGCAAGCTTCTTGTTTCTCCAGGTAAAAACATAATTTCGAAACTGTAAGTACCCAAATCCAGTGCCTATTTTCTGAATTCGATTCGCTATATGTGTATGGTTTTTTTTTTTCGACCAAACAAAGATGATAACGGACGACGGTCTGTTTGCACTATGAGGTGCCTCCCTTCAAGATAATTGCGGAACTTAACGGTTGCCTCCCACCAAACCGCTAGCGACTCTTTCTCTTTCAACCTATCGGTAATTACGTTCAATAAGATGTCTACCACTGCCAATGACGTAATAAAATATTGGATCGCACGTCAGGTTCACAATATGATTCGGACAGTACACGATCGATTCTTATAGGTTAAGAAGTCGAATTTTTGCATGTTTTAATGGCTATTCTTAATCTAGATTCCGTTAGAGCGTTACGCTTTCTTTTGTTAAATTGTACAGAGACGATAATCTCGTAATCCGGTCAGGAATGAAACAGGAATAACAGCTGATCAGGCCTAACGCCGATTTTACCTAATATCTCTTTAACGGGCTTGGCGCATCTTCAATTGCTTCAACTTTATCAATTATTGGTTTTGATTTTTCTCGGCCCAATACATTATCCAGAAGCTGCGATTCGGCTATCTTACTTAAGCTTCAATCTCAAGTTATATAGAGCATTCAGAATATAACCTCTTAATTAAAGTGATCTTGGGGACCGTTTGAGTTCACTATTAATATGTGACCCAGTTGGTATACCAGTCTATACAAGCCGGTTAGTACCATCTCTAGGGTGCACTGGAAGTAAGCTGGTGGTGAATTAAGACCATTTGATACCTTATTTTACTGGAATAGACCATTGTGCGTTACAGTTGTTGTTCTTTTTGAATTCTGGACGCATCATTTCGGTCTATTTTGGTAAACAAAGTTGTTAATCCCGGCAAATAGGTCATTCGTCTTTGGCAGTGGATACCTCTCAAGCTGGGCTGCCTTTATCGCCATTATCCTCAGGTATACATAAACACAAATTTGTTTGGGCTCTTTTAGGACATCAACAATACATAGGAGAATTCTGCACCGCATTTTTGAAAAAACGCTGATATTATTTACCCGCTATCTGTCATGTGAGCGTCCTCAAGCAATTACTTTATTAGTAATCAATATGACAAGTTGTATCCGTCGACCATCGATACAGTTAAACTTCTGGTGGCTGTGACGAATTTGTGTCACCTATCCTACGGTAGGAGACACAGCACTATAAGGATCATTGGCACTATATATTTATTTGGTGCCTTTTCTTGTACAACTTTATTGCGCGCCGCTTTACGCTTTCTGCTTCTTTTGACTTTCACACAACGTTTGCTCGCCCCGGACAAATATTACAAGGAATCCTTAATACAGTGTGGTGAAAGGGCCGACGTGCAATTTAAACTACAATACTACATACACCTTTTGAACAATTTGAGCGTTTTGAGCCCTTGTATTTTTGGGACATTCGGCATCGGATTATTAAGAGCTGAACATGCCAACAAGGAGTTCTTCAGAATTCTTTATAACTACATTTGGTTATATACTATTTGCAAATCGTATTATATTTGTTATGTGTAGTTTTTATATAGATTTATCGAATGCTTCAAAAACTTGTCACCACTTATGGTATTATGACTTTAAATACTATACGAATTGCTTGTTTCCTCTTGTCGCTGAACAAGGAGTTTTTTGAAATGTCTGACGAACACATACAAACAACAAACAATTGTTTAGAAAAACGGTCGTTTCGAATGGAAAAGATCAACCAATTTAGGGTATAAGTGATGACACTCGAACCACAAAAGCTTCACTAACAGATTTCCGTTTAACAGAGTTCCTATTATACACGCAACCCCTCTCAATCAAATCGTCTGACTGTTTATTTATTTTTTTCTTTAAAGTCAAACTTTTTTGCTCTTTGTGCACAATGAATATCTTATCACGTATAAGACTTTTGATTATTCTCCTCTATATCGGGTCTTTCTACAAGGTTTTTTCTCAGTTCTCTATGTCTCTTAAATTAGAAAGCCTAATAATAGGTGTAGAAGAAGCTTGTCGTTCGCCTTCTTAAAAGTAATTCCTTCAGCCAATTTTCATAGTTTGTTATGGCTTGACCACCATTTAATCCTTGATTTGCTGCGCCATATGTTTTCAGTTCCCTTATTTTATCGATTTCGGTAGTTGCTTTTCATTTACAGCCGCATTAGTAGCTGTGAACACCACTTATCAAACGTTTTGTAGCTTATTTTATCCGGCATATCCACAATTTAAGGAGCCTAGTATGTACCTGTACAAAGTTTTCCCGTTTAGAATAGAAAACTTCTCAAAGTACCCTCGGCTCAGTTAAAACCACTTCCGTCGTCTGTCTATTGACGCTACGAGTAATGTCTGCCACAACGTAGGATTGCTCTATGTGCGACTGACCAAGCTCTTTTTTCGAAATGTATAGATTTGCTGCCGTACAATTCCGTAAAAGGCCTATGAAATAATTTAGTTGTGCAATTACATATCTGAAACTTTAGCAATTTGTTTGAGGAATATGTGCTGAATGTTCTTAAAGTAATGCAGTGGAAATCACCTAACTCGAAATAGTCTTTTTGCGCATTCAGTTCTCGAACAAGTGGTGGATCTCTTTTAGTATACGACACTGATTGTGCTAAAATTCCTGGTCTAAAGCAGTATCGCTTGAAACTATGTCTACAAACGATGCTAAGAAACCTCTAGGCGGTAATCGACAAGAATCGAATGATGTTACCGACGGCATCGGCGGTCCGGCTAATGGAGCCGACTTCCTACTGCCGTACATTGATCCCTCCAGACGGTATAGTGATGGTAACCGATGGCGATCTAAGCGTTCCCGCTGCGTGGACCGTCTTCGCCTGGAGGGGATTAACCAGCGAATAGAGTTTTACGATCGACTCCAAAAGGTGTTGATGACTCGTCGTAGCCTGTTGCATGGTAAATTGAAAGGAGAACTTCTGTGTGTAGAAACCGGACAAAGTGCACATTCATGTAAAACTGCTATCGATGACAGAGAATTATCAAAGCTCTCGACTCACGTGCTTAACTTTATATCAAAAGACTCTAACCTAACTAAAAATATTTCTCAAAATCTTGCCAACGATGCAAATGAATCCTTACATGACCTCGTCACAAACAGCACTGCAAGCATATTGGAATTTGGATTTGGTACGTCGTGAGGGAAAAATACGCTCCCGCTTATCCAGAAACAGTATTGGAATGCTCACTTGTGTAACGTTTTTTTTTTATGTTCCAATACATTAACAAATATCCTGATTTCGTGTAATGCCATTATATTGGGGTGCCTGGAATCATTTACATGAGTTTGTACTTGACTCAGATTAAACTACATAGGATACAGTATTAATCTAGTTTTTTCCTACGTAGTTTATCGAAATGAAGAGAGTTCCTTGGTGCTCTATGATACCAATATCTTCCTACACCTATTCTTGGCACCAAATATATACCGCGAGTTTTTCTTTAGGTAGACAAGTTGACTATTTCATCAACAAATTACAAGCTAGTCCAAGAAGAACTATGACTTCATAATTACCCTCTGATTTTTGTTTGTTCCGCCATCGCCAAATGTTCTCATCCACACAGTGTCGTTAGACTAGTGTATTATATACATTGTACACATACTATGTTATACTGAGAAGTAACTTCCAGACGAAACAGAAGAAAACAACACATTTTAATATTAATAGTATTTTCTATTAGATCACTATTATGCTACAAAGTCATTGCTGCTGCCGACTCAGGCAAAATAGACACCTGCGTTCGTTTGAAAGCCGAGGATCCACATGACCTGCCTGCCAAAAACAACAATACATCTTTAAAACTAAACGCACACACATTTGAATCAGGCGAAATGTTCGTTGTTGTTCGAATTTACCTGTTAATTTGTAATATAATCAATAAACGGTATGTACATTTTAAGGTAATCTTGACTTTGTTTGATTCCATAGATTCAGCAAAGTAGATAACAGATCCTTTCAATCGCACTTCAAAGCTAATTTTTTGTTCTAGTTTCTAAGCTAGTTTTGGCTTATCGATAGGGTTTTGGGGGAATTCGAATATGTAACAAGAGTTACGAGTTTGACATGAAACAAGCTTTCAAAGCTAAACGGTTTTCATTTCTTAGCTGGCATCGGGTATGAAAAGTGACTCACATTTATCGGTCTATATGAAACGTAATGCTACTGTTTCTGCTTCTACTTCCCTCAGAATCTACTTCAAATCCTGACGCTAAGGTTACTGTGACCCAGCAGCAGTTTGGTGTAAAGCCCCGCCCCAAAGGACAAGGGCTTCCAAATTTAACGGGCATAGACAAAGTTACACAGCATTCTCTTGGGAGCGGTGATGGTTCGATGAAGGATTTGTTTGCCGGCATCGGTCAGCATTATGATGAGGAACTTTCATTCAGTTCAACATGCTCGGATGCTGAGCGTGATTGGAAACTTGCTGAAGAGTGTGTATTCACTTCTACCTTTTTCTAACTGGTAAATTTATACGTATACTCAAACTTTTAATTGGCTTATAGAGTCTGTCAAGTTCGGGCAACTTATTTATATACGGTAGAAATAACTATATTGTTGTGCACTGGTATTAATTTTTCATAAAATATTCTGATTCGCGTGCATATGCTATTAGGTTCAACACTTCGCTTGGGATGGAAATGATACAGTTTCGGAGAGAAATTGAGGAGATTTTGGCAGACCATCCAATGGGAATTTTGTTCCCCGTGGAACTTACAGGAGCTTATTACTCGAAAGTTGGACGACCCATCAAAAACTGTACACAGGTGCGCTATCTTTAAAAGGTCAATTCACCTCTTGTTGCAGCTAAATACAGATTTCGTTGACAGAATATTAGTAAACTAGGTTTGTGTTCTCCTGTTTTCACTACTTAGAACAGTGCCTATGAAACTTGCTCGCCCTTAAGAGTCTATACACGTATAAAAAAGGAAATTGAAAATAAAAAAAAAACAATGCTCTCTCTAGTATTGTTCTTACGTTCTTCTAGTCCAGGTTTAGCCTTCTATTATAGGTACTTCATAGTGCTAGGTGAAGGCTATGTTTCTATTTTATTGGCAAGAATATCTAAGTTTTTACTCGTGTTGTGTTTAAACCTTCACATACATCAAATATTGTGAGTACCGTAAAAGCGAATGGGTGGCAAAATATGTCCGACCTTTGCCAATGTGATCCACTGCCGGTCAAAATGGACGGTAAATGTAATAGTAAATGGAATATTATGTGTTCTAGCTAGGTACAGTTATTACAATATTGAGAAGTAAATATTATCCAACTTTCATTTCGTCGTATACTTACCAAACAGCTTCCGCCCGCATAAAGTAAGAATAAAATTTAAAGACCTATTTTCTGGTTATCTAATCTAATTTTTTAAATTTTCTTTTGGTATGTAATATGCTTCTCTGCGCAGGACTTCTCGTTCGAAGCACTATATGCTTGGCTGCGGTGTTTCACGTCCCTTGATATCTCGCGACTGATCCTCTGACGGAATAAATGGCTTTTCTCACTATGGGTTATTTGTTTGCCTTGAGAAGCCTAGAATTGCATTTATTAAGCTCGGAGCTTTTCTTCATTTCAAAGTATGTACGTCTGGCGTTTTCGCCTATGAATCATGGATATTGCCATGCATAATGCCATTGGATCATGTAAACATAGAATCAAAGTATCAGAAATATGGGTTGGTAACAAGGTACAAAATCCTACTCAAATCAGTACCATGCACGAAAAAAAGCTGAGTCTAATCATATTGTTGAGTCACCAATCTTCATCGTTAGCAGTCAGTCGTTTGAACTTGCATACAAAAATACTGTACATCGCATTTGCTATATTTAGTCGAGTACATATGTTTTAGTTACGATATGCTTGCTAGAATCAGATTTAGCTACGGTAAGATTTAGATCTCGCAGAAACATGTAGTCTGCCTAAATAAAGGTTATGTCTACTCCAACATATCGAGAAGGTTTTTGAAGTTTTTATTCTAACGTTGTATGGTATATTACACCGAGCCTCGCAGACTAGTCAAGCTTGACATTTTGTAAGACCGCTATGTTGCAGGACTCTAGCGCCTCTTTAGAAAAAAGTTGGAGCAGGCTCTTTTGTAAGTATAACCAACTACCGTGGAGTAGTAGTGCTTAAAATTTTAACTTAATAGTTAGTTGTTAACTGGTAGTTCAACTTAATAGTTGAATTAATTAATTGAAGAGCATGTTCTTTTTCCGCGTTTTCATAGTGCCTAAAAACCCAATTTACGGGTATAAGCACTGTCATAACTACCTTGCACTTGTTCACACTAATTGCCTTCGGCAAATGTTTAGGCCTTAGTTATACAAAGGGACGCGTTCTAATTTACGGGAAGTTTCACCTTGTGACTACCTGTTCTATTTCACCGAAAAAATACGAAAGACCTAGTAAAGTAAGCCAAGTAACTTACTGAGCTGCACACGCGATGAACAGAGGAAAGCACTAATAAACTCTCTCTGTTTCAGAAAATCTGATTTTGATCATTACACTGGTCAATCACGTGTTCGTACTGCACTGTCCTGCTATTTTTTTTAACAGGATCATTTACTTTTAGATTGATGTTATTTTAAAGGCAACCAAAATAAGGTGTTTTAAGGAAGATGATTACTGCGCTAAGCGAAGTTATTTACAGTTAATTAGATGGATATTTTGCTAAACATTTTCCTTGTATTCATCTGCTCTGCTCTGCTCTATCGAGAGCTTTAATACAAAGGTGCTCTCTTCTGTTTTTATTAGAGTTAGCCGAAGCCTTTTTTCTCTATCAACTTCTTGGTAGTGCTATTCGGTCGCGGCTTACCCAATACTCACGTCTAAGTTCACCAAAGGCCGCGTGTGAGAAGCCCGATTTGAATTTTTTGGTTTTCCCCATCAGACTGACGCAATAAAACTACTTCTCAAGTTCTATAGAAAATTTTCTGTATATGTGGCAATATGAGAATTTTCAAGGAAACATCGAAAAGAGACAGAAGCGGTTAACCAGCAGTTCAGAAAGGACAAGGTGGTTTAAACGAAGTAGTCAACCGTGTCAGTTTTGTGTTTTCTAGATGCCGTGATGCGTCTCACGATGAAGTGATGATTAGTTTTGCGAATCTTTTAATGGATTTGTTTATCTCGTTGTGGCACATTGACTCCATAATTTGACTGCTGCTTCCCTTAGTATACTCTGCATAGGGATATCAAAGTGGTCTCGTTCTCAATTATCTTTGCCAGCCGAACGTTTCTTGTATTATTCTTTCGCATTCTCCTGTGTTCGTCCGAAAAGCCGCCCATGTCACTTTCGCAATCAGCGATTTTTAGTTGTCGAGGGAGGGTTCGAGTTGTCTGTGTTATATGGAATCATGAATAGACTTCGTTTACCCGATTCGACTGACCAAATCCCTTCTATTTTCTCAGACAGTGCTTCTTTCGACGGAGTCGTTCTGGAGACGATTTGGCCCAGATATAAAAGGAAGAGGCGTACATGTAAAAATACTGATAAAATAGACTGCACTTTCGTCTTTCTTGAAAGAATCGAATTTTGAGACAAACTGAGTCTCTGTAGTGGTCTAGGTTAAGTAAGTTAATAGGAACATCATGCGGCGGGTGAGACGTTTAGCTTTTGGTATTAGGCGTTATTTATCAGTAGTAACCTGATTTCGTTGAACCATCTTGCAAACAAGACAGCAGACATTTTATTTCCTCATGTACGTTATTATGTGGAAGGCTTGAAATGTGGGACAACTTTTCACCTTAAACAGAATGATTTCTACCGGTGACTTTCTCTGCTTGCCGGCTACTTGCTAAAATAGCACACACTGGGCGGACTGCAACAAATCTGATTTCCGAAGAGCTTCTTTATGCGTATCCTTAGGGCTGCATGACAACGCTGCCTCTAGCATATTGTGCCTTTATATGCTAATTTAACATTATCTTACTATTAGTGAAGCTCTACTTGTAATAGCCATAATTTTAAACTGATCCTGCTCTTCATTCTTTGCAATATTTTACCGATATTGGCTTTCGCTATATAAAGAAATTTGAAAATTTTTGCGGCTAGCTGCCTACGACACGAATTACATCAGAATTTGATAATCCTTCATGTAACGTTCTTTAAAAAATAACGAGTGCTACGTTGCCCTAACGTACTAATCAGGGCGTAGATAATGAAAAGGGACATGAGACGAGCCAGTTGCTCAGCGAAATCAAAATATAGATGAGGCTTCCCTGTGGTATTGTTTAATTGTTTGTCTTTTACGCTAACAAAAAAGACTTCAGCAAATGCTGACAATCGACTTACCTAATTATTTCGCTGTCTGGAAAACGCAATTTTCCGTACAAGTACGCACCCGCTTTTCATACGGTTCTTGCGTTATTCGGCGTATGCTTGGAAAGCACATAGTTCTTCGTGTACGCATATCATTGAGGCCATGATACCTTCGATTTCTTTCTTTCTTATCTATTTGATCCATGTTTACTTGTACCGGTATAGAGTATCATTATGCACATGTTCGTGTATGGCAAAGACACCTTATTTCCTCAAATTGCTCATTTACGTAGGGAGTACAGATGTATAGCTTACTATAACTAATATTTGTTTATGAATCTAATCAAGTTAATACTTAAATACGTACATTTTCATGTAATGCAACCTTAAGCAAACTTTCAGTTATGGAGGTGAAGTGATCAACAGAATACTAAGGGCAAAAAGGCTTGTAGGTAAAACTTGGTAAAATGAGTTGTAAAAAAAAACCTGGCTCGCAGGTAAAATGAGTCTTCGTACACACTAGATGTAAATCTAGCGTGTACGAAGTAAATCTAGTGTGTCATTTCAATGCGTTAATGATCTAGCACCATTCGATACGGTGTGCTGCAAAAGTAATAAGCTCTTCATTGTCATAAAATTGTTCCTTGTCATTTGTCGAACTCATTTGGAACAGTAATAGTGGACATTAAAAAAGCTATCTAACTTTTGCTAATACGCGAATATGCGTTTTCCGAACTGACATGCTTCATATATATATATATGTAGCACTTTTTGTGTACCAGGTTTGCTTCCCTTTACAATTGATCTTGAGTGGCGTCCCTCTAGATTTTATCGGTTGACGTAATAACCATATAAGCGCAGTTTATCCAGAATTTTCCTCAATACATTAATTTCAACACGAAATTTCGCAAGGCACAAATTCGGCATTAACATGAAGAATCTCAGTACTGGCCTTCATCAGTGACCTGTACCATAATTAAATCAAGGTACCACGAATGAACCTGATACTGAACTAGATACAACTGTAGTAAGTCAGGTCGCGGGAGAAGAGAAACATTCTGTATTAAGTATCATATATTTATATTAAATTTCTAAGATATGCAAGCTGATCGAATATGTTACTGCCAGTATAAGGTTCAACTCCTCTGCCAGCATGCTCGGTTTGCTGTTCGAGAAGTTCTTCCATTTGTGTTCTGATAATGTCCTCCAGTTTGTTTAAATTCCACCCAGTCATCTTGAAATGCTCCCAGATGCGGTGTTCGTCATTTACTCGAAATTTCTGCATAAGTTTTAAACACTTAACAATAAATAAGGGAAATCAAATAAATAAAAGTATTTTTCACTTGTGAAATAATCAATTATAAAAGAAACTGTCAAAACATGTAGAAATTTATATATGAATCATTTTAGACTTCTTTAAGTTGCACTTAACTGAAACCATCATATACATATACATATAGCTTCATATGTGCTCGTGCTTCAAGACAGATTGCAACCACATACACGATTATTGCACAAAGTGCTTTAGACAAAAGAAAACGGAGCCCACAAGCGACACTATCGCCGCTAACCTTTTTGGGAGGACAAACTTCAGAGATAACGGCACGTGCTTCTGAGATGTGAATATGAAATGATAAACATTCAACGAATTTGCTAGCTTGAATAGAAAGAAGTCTTATTCGAGAAGTCTAGCCTTTTTTTACTTTACGTCAAAATAAAATATCACAAAAAAGGCGTTTGTGCAATTTTTTTGAACCTCTAATCGCTTGCACAGACCATCCAATGCGAAAAATAAGATCTTCTTTCATTATTTCATTCTTTGATAATAGACGGACTTCTGAACATCGCTATGGTTTGTGCAACAGAGGGGAACGCTATAACAATCTTATTCCGTGAACAAGCATATTCTAGTAATACTGCTGAATATAGTTACGATGGCCGCAAGTAAACTAATGCAAATTAAATTTTTTTTTTTCACACACATTGTCATTTTCAATTCCATGCAGTAACCCATCGAGATCCATATGCCAGCGCTAAGTGAGAGAATTTAGCCTATTATGACAATTTAAAGCGGTATCATCGCTTATTTAATCGTTAATACTATTGTATTTAGTGTATGCATAATAGAGATACTTCGATTACTTTGTATTACATGCTTCGTCAAAATTCTTAACAAGCGTTGCAGTGTCACAAAACTAAAACGAAAACAAAATTCTACGATAGTTCTTCTGTTAGGCTGACCTACGCAGCGATAGTAATCAATAAAGCAAGTCACGAAAAGCTTCGCATAGTTAACGTACATCACATAGGTTTCTAACTTAAACTAAGGTTAAGACAATTATGATTTCAAGCTATCTTTATCTGAGCGTTGAGACCCGACTAAGGAACGGCAAGATAATAGGACCTTGAGTTTTCGAAACGACACATATCGCGATGAAAACGTCATGTATTACCTTCGACCACTGAATAAATTTAAAGTTTAGTGCGCTAAGGTTCTATGTTGAGTCTTTTTCTCACTTAGTGGAGATCGTGTCGGTCCGTACTGAGCTTAAACCAGTTATTTCAGCGCGAGGGTGGTTATCCGACGCACAAAAGCATGAAATATCAGATCAAGTCAGACGTTTGGAAAGTTTCAATACGTCAGTTTACGATAACAGGCTAAATAACAAACTTGGTGTTGTTAGAAAAA